GGTTCTTAGCTAGTGCCTCTGATATTGACTGTCATACTAAACCCAAGTCTTTCAGATATTTGCCACACTACCTCTTAATACAGTGGTGCCCACTGTTTACTTTTGCTGATATTGTTCTACTCTCTCGACGTTGAACATGGCAGTAGATGCTGGTGGTGGTGAATAGTGAAGATGTACTCTGACCCTTACATGTGCTTACCATTCTGATTCTTCTGCCTCCATTCCCCAAGTACTAACCTTATAGATAAGTGCTACTACCTAGCCTCCGCTTCTTTTTCTAAAGAGTCATAGTTGTCAATAGGAGCCTAGAGATTTAAGCCCATTAGGGGAAGAATGTGTGAGTAAGCGCTAGGACAGGTGATCATGGAGAAGGAAATCAATGGTCCTTAAGAGCTTCTGAAGCAGGAGGTGCATGGTTAGGAAAGAAGTGGGTATATTCAGGTTTCTATGATATTATGTTTGTTTGCCTCCAGGTGAATCTAAACAATGCATCTAGAAGCCAGAGCAGCCATTCATATGATGATAGCACTCTCCCACTCATTGACCGGAACCAAAAATCAGGTATAGTAAACAAGAGGTGCTCCCACCATTATTTAATGTCTTATTAACTAAGAAATGGGGTATATATGTATTTCTAAAATGAGCTAGACCCTGAATTATGCTTTGGAGTAATGCTTTGCCTCAGGATTATAATATGTAAGAGAATGGGTTTGAATTTAGAAATTAAAACAGGCAGGAAAGGGTATGGTGGTGCACACCTGTAATCCCAGTCCAGGACTCCAAGGTGGAGGAAGGATCAGTATGTCAAGGCCAGCCTTGGTGACATGAAACTCTGTCTCAAAAGAAAACAAAACCAAAATCAAAACAGTTGGTGAGCTTGAGTGTGGCTCCTCTATTTGCCTGTGGACTTAGAGAGTGAGGCATAGTTTTTCTGTTTCATTTCTTCCTCTTTAAAAATTTTGTGTTCTGTTGATTAATGTGCTTGGTTAATTATTAGTGCTTTTCCAGTTGAAAAACTAAAAACTACTGACAACTAGAAAGTCTGTTATTTCTAGTGCCTAGAGAAAAGCACCACTATTGCTATTTTAGGTTATAGCTCTGTGTGTGTGCTTGTGTTTTTGTGTTTGTGTGGTACTGGAGATTGAATGCAGGGCTTTCTAGGTGAGTTAGAGCTTTTTAAACCAGTTTACCATAGATGAATTATATATTTTGTATTGTATATATTTTTTCTCTTTCACTGAAATCATATACTGTAACCCTTTTTTACCTTGATTTGATTTTTGATTTGACCCATGGCTTTGGAGTGTGGTACGAGGGCCCCAAAACTCTTGGACATGTGTGCAGAAGGCATAGAAACAGTGGTGCTTGCTATGGCTGCTCAGCATAAATGAGGGCAGCAACACTGATCTGAACAAGTTCTTTTCATTGCCATGTACTCTATAAAAAGCCATCTTCATTCAGGAGCATCCTTGATGGAGCTGTAAACATTAATAACCCCAAATGCACGTTGTTTAGATGTGTAGTGCTAATGAGAACATGTACAGCACTTGTGCTGTGTAGGGAGCCACTGTGGCTGTCTTGAGGCAGACTATAGGTGTTAACTTATTAGACTACCTTTTTTTTTTTTTTTTTTTTAAATAGAGTACTATTTTACTTTATGAAGCAGCTGAGACATGGTTATTTGGCAAGCATTTCCACAAAAGTAAATGTGGAAACCTTATCACTTTGATTAAAAAACTGGGGCCAAAGCGGGACTGTGGTAGTGCACACTCTTAATCTCACCCCTCAGTAGGCAGAGGCAGGCAGATCTTTTGTGAATTTGAGGCCAGGCTAGTCTGCAGATTGAGTTCCAGGACAACCAGGGTTACATACAAAGAGAAACCTTATCACAAACAAACAAACAAACAAACAAACAAACAAATCTTGTCTCAAAACAAAAACACCACTAACAAAAAACTGTCAGTATTTGCTACCTGAGTAAACAATAAAATTTTGGCTGAGTATGGTGACTCAGCACTTGGAAGACTAAGGCAGGGAGATTGCTCTTTGTTTGAAGCCTGCATGGGCTACATAGGGAGTTCTAGGCCAACCTGAGATGTAGAATAAGACCCTGCTCTCAAAAAAAAAAAAAAAAGAAAAGAAAAAAGAAAATCAAATTCATGTTTCTGAGTTTGGTAACTTCCCAATGCTTAAAAGGCTTTTTTTCTAGGGCCATCAAGGTAGCTAAGCAGGTCAGCTCACTTGCTTCTAAGCCTAACAACCTTAATTCCATCCCTGAGAACTGACTCCTGAAATTTGTCCTCTGACCACTATATCCATGTCCTAGTATGGATGGACACACACACACACACACACACACACACACACACAATGTAATAATAGAAAAGTTAAAAAAATAAGGTGTTAAGAATAGAAATATCAAATTAAAAATGGCTTTTATGATTATATAAGTGGTGATACAAATGTGTTTTTAAAATACACATACATACTAAAATCTGTTAATTTTATAACATTTGCATAGTTCTATAAATCATTATCTTGCGGGGAGACAATGCCATGATATTTCAGATTCCTGTATGAGTAAATGTTCTATACTAGGGCAAGACAGGCTAACTCAAATTTTTTTGTTCTTTTCTTGAGGGAGGGTCTTCCCATGGACCCTACAGTTGCCTGGAACTTACTATGTAGAATCAGGCTGGCCTGGAACTTGCAGTGATCCCCTACCTCTGCCTTCTAAGTGCCAAAATTATGGGAGTGTGCTTATTAATCAAAGTTAAGAGGTATACAAAAATGTTAGACAGTGCTCCCCACCTTGGTTTTCTTTTCTTTAAAAATTATTATTATTGTGTACATGAATGTGTTGTGGGCACACCCATACTGTGGCTTTCAGTGGAGCTCAGGGACAACTCTCTCTGGAGCTGGTTCTTGCAGTTCTGCGTAGCTCCTGGGGATCAGACTCAGGCTGCCAGGCTGGCACAGCCAGTGCTTCATCTGCTGAGCCACCTTGCCAGTCCACTCACAGTGCCTTTTAAATCGAAGATGTTTATGATAGGTAATACATTTATTTCTAAGTGGGGTAGAAGTTTACACTTCTGAATATAGTAATGTGTATTTATTCAACACCGATAAAAGTCCTTTGCATCCTAATTTATTTCCTGTGTGTGTGATTGGGGACTGAATCTAAGGTCTTATTTCTGGTGGCTAATGCCTTACCTACTTTTGAGCCACATCTCCAGCCTAGACCCTCATAATTTTAAGACTAAAGGGGCTTTGAGATGTAATAGCTCAGATTACTGAAGTACTTTTAATTTGTTTATTTGTTTGGGTGTGTAGGTACACATGTGGCGGTCAGAGGACAACTTGTGTGAATCAGTTCCTTCCACAAGTTGGTTCCAGGGATGAAACTCAGGCCATCAGGCTTGGCAGCAAGTACCTTTATCTACTGAGGTGTCTTCTGGCCTCTGAAATGTTCTTGTCTTTAGGTTTCTGTATGAAAGGGATCAAAGTTCTGTGAGAGCTTTCCTGTAACTGCAGGCTGTGATTAGTACTTGGCACAGAGTATGTGCTGAGTAAAACTTCATTTGAATAAAGGCAGGGAAGGATGGCATGCCAGAGAGAAATGTCTACTTAATATAGATCTTGGTGTATTGGATTTTGATTTGAATAACTTTCTAATTCCATATAGATAAGAAACCTGACCGGGAAGAAATTCCAATGAGCAATATGGGGTCAAACACAAAATCATTAGGTAGGTGATGAATTCCTGTCTAATGTTGCAGAATAGTGTGTAGTTGGGGTGAGTAGGTATTTTCTCCTTTTCTTTTCTCTTTTCCTTTCTTTTTTTGAGACAGGGTTTCAAATCACATAGGCTGGTCTTGAACTCAGTTGCAGTTGTGGTTGATCTTGAACTCCTTCCTGATCCTCTTGCCTCTACCTCCAAGTGCTGGGATTACAGATATGCTCCACCATGCCTGGATTTTTTTTCCCTGTAGCTTTTTACCCCCCTAAATACCCTTATCATTTACCATTCCTGAAGTACTGTGATTGGTAATCTCCATTTGAAAGGATATCTGGAAATATAATAAAATTTGATCAATCCCTGCTCTTTTCTACATTTTCACGTTTCTGTGGATGGGATGATCTTTCTTAAATTTTCTTAATTTTTTTTCCAAAACATTTTTTTTTTTATTTTAATTTTTTGAGACAAGATCTCTCTGTGTATTCCTGGCTGTCCTGAAACTTACTTTGTAGAACAAGCTGACCTTGAACTCACAGGGATCTGCCTGCTTCTGTTTCCCCTGTGCTGGGATTAAAGGCGTGTGCTGCCATGCCTGGTTTATTTATTTTTTTTATGCGTATGAGTGTTTTGCTGGTGTGTTTGCTGTATGTGGTGCTTCGTGCCCTCAGAGGTAAGATCCCCTAGAACTGGAGTTAGGGATGGTTGTGAACTACTATGTGAGTGATGGGAGCCTAATCTAGACTCTTCTGCAAGAGCAACAAGTGTGCTGAGCCACCTCTCCAGCCCCTGACCTTGAACTCTTGATCTTCCTCTTCTAACATATGTTCTCAGAAAGTCTTGTGTCCATATAATCTGCCCTGATCTCGCTCTGTTCTTTCTCTCTACTTTCAGTTTAGCTGATCTACTTGCTGCTGCCTTTTTTTTTTTTTTTTTTTTTTTTTTTTTTTTTTTTTTTTTTTTTTTTTTTGAGGCAGAGTCTCATAGCCCAGGTTAGCTATGAACTTACAATATAGCTGAGGATGACCTTAAATTCTTGGGCCTCCTGCCTGCCTGCTATAATTTGTTATTATTAGGGTTTCCCATATCTCAGACTGAAATTGAACTCAGTATATAGCTGAGGATGACCTTGAACATCTGTGGACCCTCCTCCCTTCATCTCCCAAGTGCTGCAATTGTAGGTTTACATCAGGACACACAACTCATTGTGCATTATTTAAAAGCCTTGGTATATTAAACCTTCTACTGGAATGTCCTTCCCCTTTGCTCTTCTGACTTGTCATTCCCAAAGGCTGAACTTAAGTTGTGTTTTGCTTTGTCAATTCCTTCCAGTTGCAGTTTGTTTCTGTTTTCTCCTAATTTCAGGGCGGTCTATAAGCAAGCCCAGTCAATCTCTTTAGTATTACCCACCATAGGACACCGTTGTTCATTGTTATCCTTTTGTTGTTTTCGCAGTAATGGTAATAGAATCTAGGCCAGCCACTCCAGCATTGAACTACATCCCTAGTACTGGGTATTTCACATACATTATCTTCTCTATTATATTCAAGCTATGTTTAAGTATTAAAAAGCATCAGTCTTTAATACTTTGGGCATCTGAAACAGCTCATTTCTTTATCAACGTGCCTAATTCGGATACATTGTATACTAGAGGGAATATATTGTTTCTGTGTACTTTCCCCCTCTAGATAACAACTATTCCACACTGAATGAAAGAGGAGACCACAACAGAACACTGGATCGATCTGGGGATCTGGGTGATATGGAGCCATTGAAGGGAGCACCCTTGATGGTAAATCCTTGTTATATACTGCTGTGTATATGAGACTGATAGTATTTTGAAACTGTATGATATATGAAATGGGAAAAGAACAGAGAAAGGTAATATCTTTTTTGGTAGGTGTTTTCAGGAAAAAAAGTAGAGGTTTAGATGCATCTTGAAGTTTCTTGGGATGCTCTTCATTGATTGTGTTGGAGGAAGTCTTTGCAAGTGTTATTGATGTGACTAACATTGACTAATCTGTTCTGTCATACATCACCCTGTTCTTTCACTTACCTTGAGGGTGTTTTACCCTTTTGCTTTTAACAGTGTTTGTTTACAAACTTGGGATTTCCCTGATTGGCACATAGTTAGAGGTTCTTATCTTGGCTCTCTTACTAACAAATTACATGTGTTCACAGCAGGACGAGGGGCAGGAATCTTTGGAGGAAGAGTTGGATGTGTTGGTTTTGGATGATGAGGGGGACCGAGTGTCTTACTCCCCCATGGTATGTCCTCCAGTCACCCCTAAAATGGTCCTCAAGAAGGAGGCCTCTGTATGCCCACTCTTTGCCAATCATGTTGATCTGATCAGGCCTGAGACACTTGTCTGAGGCACGTGGGGCCCAAGGATTTCTGCTTCTGTGATCCTGACCTCTTCAAAGCCTGGGATGCAGTGGGTGATCTAGTTCTCTGTTGCGTGCTGCTTTCCTGCCTCCAGATTTACTCAGCTGCCTTGTTCTCTAGGTCTTCCTGTTCTCAACCTTATTAACAGCTTTCTCTTTTTTTTTCCCCTACAGCAGAAGATTTAGCACCACTCTACCTGCTCCAACTGGGCTTATAATATATTACTTTTATTTTTTGGTGGTGAAATGGACTGATGATTTTTTTCCTTTCTTCGCTGGACTATTGTGCCAACTGCCAGGCTGCCTCCTACCCTTATAGCCCAGAGTGGCTGCCTTCATTCCATCAATTCCCAACATCTTCTACTGAAGTTTAATTGTCCTGTCCTCCCATCCCCTACCTCCAGTTTTCCCCAAGAAACCTGACTCAGTTATTTGCATATCTTGAGAAACTGCTGCAGATTAGCTCTTTTTGCCAGCCCTCCCTGGATCCTCGGCCTGTGTGGAGGGAGGGAGAGAGTGGAGCTCTTCACTGGAAGCTGTGGGAAGAACTGAAAATTGCACGCTGTGTATGCAGTATTCAGCATTCTGACAAACTGATGACTTTAATCAAGACTGTCTTTCTGGTGGGGAGGGAACTTTTAATTTTGTTTTGGATAATGGGAAGTATGAGTTCTTCCCTCATCCAGTGGCTTTTTTGAAGCCAAGAAGGCTGGAAACAGTGGCACATTCCACCTGGCAAGGGCCCTCGAGTAAGTGAGGTACTCCTCAAACTGGGATTGAGAACTCTTGTTCCTCCTGTCCGAGGCAGGGACCACAAAGGACCTACAGACTCCATCTCTTCTGTCAGCTTCAGGCCAACCTTGGGGTGCTGCCCTGACCAAGGTTGTCCTCAACCCTCCCCTCTTACCCTGTGATAAATCTGCTAACTTGACTTGGCCGTTTGCAAGAGGCTATGTAAAAAAGAGAATGCCATGGAACACTTCTTGATTGAGAAGAAACAGAAAGATTGTCTTTTGGGGAGAAGATGAACCTCTAGGAGGAAACAGAAGGAATGTACATGAAGTGGCTAGTCTGAAACTGGCAGGAAGCTTCAAAGCTGGCTTTCCCCCACCTTCCCTGCCCCATTCTCTTCTTCCTTTATAGGCTGGTCCCTTCTCCTCCCCTTCCTGGATCTGTTGGCCAACTACAAGACTTGTACATAACTCCTGCCCCCTTTGCCCTTCTAAGGTAGGAGTTGCCCTGGCTTTGCCTCTTCTTTGTGCCTTTGGCCTGGGGTGCGTCTCCTCCCTCTCTTCCACGTGCCTTTCTTTGCCTCTGCAGTCTCATTTCTCATGATTTTGCTAGTTAGATTTTGTTATTTTCTTACCCACAGTTGACCCTCAGTAGCTGAAGGAAAGGAGTGGTGACCTAAGGAACCTCAAGTCCTTCTTGGGGATTGTTCTAGCCTCTGATTTAGCCAACAGTGTACAGTTGGAATTGGTGTCTATCCTATCCTGATGAGTCTCAAAGTGAGGCTGGTGGGAGGGAGTGCCACGACTCTTACTCCTTAGTTGTTCCCTGGTCCCATTATCTGAGAGGTTATAGATAATCAAGGGTTTCTCTCCAGTTCCTTTGCCTCCATCATACCCTGTCCAATTGTAGGGAATGTTACAGGTTGGGCTAGAGAATCAGCTACTATCTGGGTTGATTTTTTTTTTTTTTTTTTTTTTACTTTTTTCTTTATTTGCCTTTGTTCCTTAATCCAAAAGCTCTATTCAATGCAACTGGAATTCTTTATCCCTCTTGTCCTGTTCCTTAATATATTGAGGCTATGGGGTGGGAGAAAAGTGCACAACCCACCAACCCCTTTCCCTATGCATTACAATCCCCCCCCTTTTTTTTTAACTGTTTGTTTCCCTCCCATTTCTTCCTACCCCCATCCACCTTTTCTGGCAGAAAGGAGCCTCTCTCCCTGGGACCCTCAGAGTACACTGCACAGGGAGCCTTCCCACCCAGACCTGGCTCTATTCTTGGTTTCTTTTGTCCTCCTCTGCTCTTCCTGGTGCTCTTTTTCGGTGGGGTGTGGGTAATAGAATAGCCATGGGCTTTGGGGGACCTTTAACTGTTTTTTTGTTTTGTTTTGTTTTTTTCCTCTTTCATTTATAAACACTAAACATTCAATTTCAGCAAACCAAAAATCCTACCTTCCCACCGAACACTACTAAGGGGCATGTCGTCTGCTCTCTATCTTTTCTCTTTTCTTTCTCTCTTGTTAATGCTTTTAAAAACAAATGAGTTTTTTATATAAATAAAGTTTTTAAAGTGTGTATGTGGGAGGTCTGTGTCATTTCTTCACTTCGAGCTGTATTTCCTCCCTCCTTTTCATCTTGATTATTTTGGTGTCAGTGTTCTTTTTCTTTTCAGAGCTGCCAGAAGGAGGTTGTCTCAGGATGGGCTCACTTTTGTTTCGGTCCCAAGTCTTATCCAGGAACATTCTTGGGAACACCCCCAACATGAGTCTCCAAGTTAATCGATGGCTGAAGTAGAGCAGGTGGACTTAGTAGATATAGAAACTGCAGAGTGCAGGCTGACAGCCTCCTCATTCTCTGGGGTTTTCTCACATCATTTGACAAAAGCAACACTGAGCAAAGCCCTCTGAAGACATGCTCTTTTGAACACAACACATTGAATCTAGACGGTTAGAAGCTGGCAATCCCTAGCAATCCCTACTGCCACCTTAGTAAATGTGAAAGAGTTCAAAGTCCTCGGCACTAATCACAGGCCATGCTGATACTTCTCAGGCTGAATGGAGTGGGTGAGGCTGTTTGATAGGATGTCCTGCCAAACTGTATATGGCTGGTTAACAGAAATCAGATTACTGGGGGTTATCTTGACGGCAGATGCCGAAGATTCAGACTCTTGGGAAGACACTTTTCCAGGGTTCTTAAAGTGCTGTCATGTAATTTAAAAACCTCAAGAGAATTTGTGTAAAATTCTTCAGTTAAAATTATTTGGCTGTCCAGCATCACCACATTATACTAGATTTAAGTATGAGAACTTTTTTGGGCTTATGAGATCAGGCAACTCCCCCCCCCCCACACACACACACAGTAGCTGTGTACATTAAGGCTTGATTTGTTCTTACACCTGTAGTCTTAGATCTGAAGAATAAAATACAAAGTAAAAAAACAGTTTGCTCTGCAGCAAAGTTGAATTTTTATGTATGTAGAAAACCCTGGCCATTGGTACTGCAGTAGATAGAAACCCTACTGCAGGCTGGCCTTAAGCTTGTGATCCTCCTGCTTGTCTCCTCAGAGCTGGAATTACAGGTGCACATCACCATGGTCAGCTACACACATTTTTCAAAGATCTAGATCACACATACTGCTAATCACAGTACTCTTGTGGCAGACACCAGCCTGGGCTGCATGGCAAGACAGTCAGTCAGTCAGTCAGTCAATCAATCAATCAATCAGTTACTCATGCTCATACCTAAAATGAAATGTTGAAGTGACTGGTCTACAAAAGCCCTATATGTTAAGTTTCTTTGGGTTAGTTTGGTTTTTAAAGCCTCACTCTGTAGCCCTGACTGACTTGGAACTCACTATGTAGGTCAGTTTGATCTTGAATTTGCAGCAGTCCTCCAGCTTTTGACTCCCAGGTACTTGTGCCATGATGCCTGATTTTCTGATAAATTTCTTGACAGACTTGACAGTGCTTTTGAGGCCTCTTAATACTTCTTGCTCATACTAACATTAGAAACCTTTAGGATTTGTTCCTTTGTGGTTCTTCTTAATAGTTTTTTTGGTTTTTGTTGTTGTTAGCTTTTATTTATTTTTACTTTATGTATATTTTGCCGGCATGAATGTCTGCCTCACATGCGTGCAGTGTCCAAAGAGACCAGAAGAGGGTGTTGGATCCTCTGGAACTGGAGTTGTAGATGGTTGTGAGATGCCACGTGGGATGCTGGGAACAGAACCTGGTGACAGAACCTGGGTGCTCTGGAAGAGCAGCCAGTGCTCTTAACTGCTGCCCTTCTTAGTACTTTTACAAAAGTTTACCTTATTTATATGTGAGTGTGTATCTGTATGAGTATATGCCAGTTGTCTGGTTGCCCCTGAGAGCCAGGGAGGGCACCAGATCCTCTCAGAGCTAGAGTCACAGGCAATTGTGAGCTGTTAGCTGTTGGTGTTTAGAATGAAGCTTGGATCTTCTGGACTCAAAGCAAGTGCTCTTAACTGTTAAGCTATCTCTCCATCCCCCTTAGTACTTTTTTTTTTTTTTTTTTAACATTAATCAGTAGATCTAGTTTTGCAGACATAAGCAAGTACATAAGAATTACCTTGGTCTCTTGGTTGAAAATGTAGATTCCAAAACTGACTGGTGAAACATGGCCTCTAATTCTAATATTTGGGAAGCTGAAGCAGGCTACCTACAAATTTGAGGACACCTGGGCTGTGTTGCCAGATTCTAATCTTACAAAATAAGAAGATGAACCCGGGCCTGGAGAGATGCCTCAGAGGTTAAGAACACTGGCTCACAACCATCTGTAATGAGATCTGGCTCCCTCTTCTGGCCTGCAGGGATACATGCAAATAGAACACTGTATACATAATAAATAAATAAATCTTTAAAAAAAAAAAAAAGATGAACCCATACTCCCCCAAGCTTCTGGGGGATGGGCCTATAGCTCTGAGCTAGAGTGCTTCCCTACAGGCACTAGACCATGGGTACTGTACCAACACCACAACAAATTCCTATGTTTCACTGTGGAAACTGATTCATAGGTTGGTCTGGGGAATCTGAGCCTTGTAAAGTGCAATGGTTATCGTATGTGGTTATCTGCCTTGAGACCCTGGTCTAGAGCATTGGATTATTTTCCATGTGGAACCTGGGATGACGGACCAACTCTTTTGGCAATAGTGAGTATAGATAATGTGATGATAACCACAGGAAGATAATTCATAAAAGGAAATATTTGTTTCAGAGGAAGTGCAGAGACTGTGAGTTCTAGTACTTCTCTATCCTGCAAATCATCCAGGTAATTCGCAGGCTGCCAAGGGCAGGCTGGCCCCTAATATGGTGCCCTTTAAGGCAGAAAGAATGTCCTGGATTATGAATTAATGAACTTCTGTCTTTAAAAGGGTACTTCAACTAGGGAGTAAATGGCTCTATTGTCCAAAACCAAAGAGGTCAGGTATAAAAATGAATCATTCTAGAGAGAGGGCCTAATTCAAGAAAACAAACATGAAAGAAATAAGATACTGCCTGAAGCAAACTTCTTTTCATAGAACAGACTTCTTAGCTTTTCTGCTACCCAACTCTCCCTTAAAACATTAGTTCAGTGCTTAGTACGTCAGCTGTTTCACCCAGGATTACTGGCAGATGTGAAAGGAAAGAAAAATGGAGAAGCAAGGTAGATAATTGCCATTGAGAACAACGACTTGGATCTGTTTGCATTGTGACAGCTTTGAGTTTTTATTTTGTGTAGCGTACAGTGACCAGGGCCAACAAGCCACAAGTGAAACTTCATTGGGAGTGTCACCCATGCTGCTATGATTGTAAAATTTCAAGCATTTTTATAAGCATGTGACAACTGGTCTTTTTCTAGTACTTGAGAGTACTACACCTGTCTTTATCCGTTTCTAGTTTTGTTGCAGCAAAGGACAGCCACTTCCCCTTCTGAAGACACAAAGGCTATGTCTTGCTGCATTTCCTGATATCTCTAGTGCTATTGGACAAACAGTCCAAATGCTGTAATGTACCCAAAGAAAAGGAACATAGGTGGGACTCCTGATTATGTTCATAGAGTTGCTTCCTATGCACTTCTTGTCTTCGTCGTTTTGTTTTGTTTCATTATGACATTTTCAAACAAAATCTGTTTTATTGATGCTCTTCACCTATCTTTGCCATCCCTTTGGCCCTCTTTGTGGGACATCTTAATCTTTTCAGTATTGATGTTGGTCCTTTTTTACTATTCAGGCTTTTGCTTTTGGAAGTACGGTGGATTAGATTCCCTGAGAATCCTTTGAGCAGAGGGAAGTAGCATGCTAGATAAATATATTTATTAAAAAAATACTCTCATCCCTGTCTTGTTGGTATTGAATTCAGGGCTTCACACATGAGGCAAACACTGAGCTACATCTAGCTGTGTATTTAAAAAAAAAAAAAAAGATAACTGTTTAAACACACGAAGAGGCACAAAAGAAAGCTGATCTTCCAAACAAAGCCAAGACTGGGTCTTTGCAAGTATCTGATAAAACCAGCTTCACCCAGAGTTGTTGCCAAGCACAGCATACTTTAAGCTTCTAAGGAATGTGGGAAAGTGGAAAGGAAGGATTCCACATAAAGCTGAATACCCTTAGCACAAAGATGAATAGATTACTCATGATCAGATGGTTTGCTCTGTAAACCTTGTGACCCGAATTCAATGCCTGGAGCCCATATAAATGTGGAAAGAGAAAACTGACCCCACAAAGTGCGTGCACACCTATTACACAACAACAAATAACTCGTTGAGGGAGACAACAAAGAAATTCTCCTGATCTTGATAATAGGTTGGAGGGTTTGTAATCCAAATTTCATTACCTGTGTGACTCAAAAACCAGTAAATAGGGACTTTCAAGTCGTTCTTCATTGGCCATAACTCCAGATGGTTTCCAGAAGTCAGTGTGTTTCCTCTAAGGTTCAGAAACAACTCTAGTAGACTTCAAGTGCTCAAAAACTACAGAGTAGTAAAGAGCAATGAGTGAAAATGGGGATAGAAGACATATAAGCCAATCCTTAAATACTTCAGATGTTTGTTGGCACTAACATGGACTATGTAACAAGACATGGATTAAGGTCAATGAGTTCCAGTGGAATGCAGATTCAAGAAGGCATACTGTTCAAAGCCCTGGTAAATGATGTAAATGTAAGCTTTACATAAAGGTGCATGTAATTAGGAGCTGGACAGAATGAAATCAGAATGCTGGACAATGACATGTATGTTGAAGGGTGACTAGAGCAGCATTCTCAGATTCTTGTGTTTGGGAGAAAAGTGAAGATACTGATCAAAGCTTTTGTGAAACTAAGTGTCTATATTAGCTTTAGCTGTTAAAAGAATAGAGTATATAACTTATAAAGAAAAGCAAAAGGGCAGAGGTGTAGTTAAAATTGGTACTTCATCTGATGGAATGAGCTAGGTTTAAGGAATAGAGGAAAGATGTGTGTCATCCCAGGTCAGGGGTCACCATGCAACAAGTGAACAGATGTGTGCAGAAAAGAGCAAGGGTGGAAAGCAAGTGCACAGATGGGCAAGAAGTCCGAGAGTTCCCAAAAAGGCAAAGTTAATGAATTATGCTTACATAACCAGCACTTTTCCTCAGCTGTGAGATGGACCTTCTTTCAGAGACTGATGGCTTTGAGGTAGGAGAGCCAATGAGTGTAGGAGACACAATGAATAATTGTGTCATTATTCCAGTTCATCTCAGCGCCATTTATCATTTCCTGGGCACCGAGGGCTTTCTCAGGGCCATTCGTTGAAATTTGGGAATACTGATGCTCCATCACCATGAGGCACATTTGTAATAGACACTCTCCTAAGAGCAGAGGGTTTAGATTTTAAAATGGCTATATGTATATATATTTAAGTGGATGAGATCCTGAAAATGGGAGCTAGTCTTTGCCCTGCAAAACAGTAAACTTCATGCTTCATGATGATTTGTTTCATCCTCATTTGTTTGAATAGGATGCTTTTCCTTATACTCTTGTTCTATTTTGCTCTTGGTCTGTGGTCTAGAATCCCAGAGGGAATGATTTCAACCTCTGTTTAACTCTCTTTCCCTTGGATATAAACTGGGATTTAGAATTCTGAAAGACCAAAATAGGGATAACCATCTTATGAGATAGTGTCCGGGACTGTCCTGTCTCATCCTGTTGTCTCTCACTTGTTCTAGAATCCCCACCTGTCTTTTCATTTCTCTTCCACTTTCTCTTGAGTGGAAGGCTGGTGTGGGAACTCACAGATCTTTTATTCATAACCTATGCTTTGTTTGAATCCCAGCAGGTTTATTACTACAACAATTCAAACTTACATGGGTCAAATGAGACCAATGCAGGCTGTAGCTGTGCCCTTACCATGTAGCTCTCCACCACAACACCTCACACAAAGGTGGAATAGGTTCCAAACATGGCAGTTCCTAGTAACCACCAGTGATGGCAGAGACAACATACGGGTGCCCTCTGCTATCAGGGCCCATCACTAGTCGAATCCTGGCCTCCTGCAGAAGGGCATGCTTCTTCAGACCTATCATATCTCAACTCCACACTACTTCATATATTGATTATTTTTGCAAAATTGTGGCTTAGGAGCTAATGTAATTTTGTGATAGAGCAAATGCCTATCATTTGTGCGTGGTCCCCTGAGTTTAGTCCCCAGGTCAGACATACAAATTCTTTTTTTTTTTTTTCCGAGACAGGGTTTCTCTGTGCAGTTTTGTGCCTTTCCTGGAACTCACTTGGTAGACCAGGCTGGCCTCGAACTCACAGAGATCCGCCTGCCTCTGCCTCCCGAGTGCTGGGACTAAAGGTGTGCGCCACCACCGCCCGGCAAGACATACAAATTCTTACTTGTAAGAGTTTACGTAAGTATTTTTAAAGCAAAAGTTATCAGAGCAGATGGTAGAGTTAAAATTTTTCTTCTGTGTTGTCCTTTTGTTGTCTGTACTTTCAGGCATCTTTCTCTTTGCTCCCACAACAGACCTGCTTTTAGCGGTGGTTTCACATAGTCTACATATTCCATAGTCTTTTTCTCATAAAATATGCCATGGACATCTGCAGATACAATTGTATATGCTCCTGCTTTATGTTCCTAATGACTGACTATTTTACCATTAGTCTGTGTCACATTGTTATTTAAGCCTTTATCCTCTCACTTCTGAAACTCCTTTCTGTGGCCACCATGGAAACTGTAGAGGCTGCATTCTCAGGAGACAGTTCTCCCTCAGTCTGGAACCCATGCTTCTCTGGTTAGGATGAGTTCGTTGTGAACATTCTGCTCACCTCTCCTTATCAAGATTGTTAGCTCTTTTCCTCCCCCACCCCAGAAGATTTGAAAGGAAGCCTGCTTCTGTCCTATGCCCCCAGCCAGAGATATTAAGCATTCTTCCTTCCTTTCCTTCAGAACATACCAAAGGGGAACTTTTTTCTTTTAAATATTTATTTTCATGTGTATGGGTGTTTTGTTTGCATGTATATCTGTGTACCACAGAGGGCTTTGGATTGCTTATAACTGTACTTAGAGACCTTCTGAGCTGCCATGTGGGTGTTGGGAAGTGAACTCAGGTTCTTTGCAGGAGTGGAAAGTACTTTTAACTGCTGAGCCATCTTTGCAGCCCTGAAAGGGGATTTAATTGTTTTAAGCTCTTATTTCATTGAAAATAAGAGTTTCTCTGCTTAACGTCCTCAGCTTTAACGTGTCTGGCACTGCCTGAGTACAGAGACAAGAGGGTTTGCCATTGGCATTGAATCCTAACCGGTGTCTGATGGAATCTTTAGGAAGGACTCTGGCTCATGCTGGTTCCCTTCATGTCTTCTGTGTAGTCTTAAGGCCTCATGCTCTTCTTGCTGGGTGGGTATGGTTAGTGCCTGACTGCATACTTTGGTAACCCAGTTCTGATTGTGCTTTTTCTTCCCACAGTATCTTTTAATTCTGGTAACTCACATCCCAGTGATGACTTCTTCATTCCTACTTGCTTTGTAAACTGCATTATAATAGAACCGTTCAAGAAAAATGACCTTGAGCTGGGCGAAGTAGCATAAGCCCGGCACTCGGGAGGCAGTGGCCAGCAGATCTTTGTGAGTTGGCTTTGGCAAGGTTTACACGGTGAGTTCTAGAACAGCCAGAACTACATAGAGAGACCCTTGTCTATAAATAAAGAAAAAATGGAAATGACCTCTTAAATGAAACTCCAACTTCTTTTATACTTCATTTTCCTGCAAATATTTGTCCAGTAACCACTTGATTCAGATGCTTGGGCTTAACGCTGCTCCTGTTTTGAAGAGTTCCAATTCTGTGATGGAGGCTGTAAATTAGGGTCAGTAAGGTAGGCACTACTCCAGTGATAACCTTTTAAGGGCAACAAGCATCCTTGAGGCGGACTGGGATTATTAAAGGACAGCTAGGATTCTGCTTCTTGGGGATTGGAAGTCATTGAAGTCAGATCAAATACTGTGCAAAACTACAGAGATGGAAGAATATAGTGCACTAGGCACCAAGTAGGCAAGAGGGCTTCTCTTTGTAGAGACATTTCATCTCATAAATGAAGTAGTCAAACAAAAATGTCATCATGGTGGAGTCCCTAACAGCTGGATCTTTCAAGCATTGAACATCAGTGGTCCATACCACAAAAAGAGGTACCATCCATGAAGTTTAAAAAGTCTGAAGATGTGGTTCTTTGTTCAGTGCTGAAGCACAGCAAAGAAAAACTCTCCTGAGTCTGATCAAGCCTCTGGATCTAACTATTTAACCAAAGATAAGACAGGGGAAATACTAAATGATGTTATTAAGATACCCAATTTCTTTATAAATTAATTACAATAAGAAAAGAATGTAGGGGGACCTATTGATTGCAAGATTGCAGTTTCAATGATTGCCTATAAACCCAGCACTGGGGAGAAAGTGAGGAGGGTCAGAAATTCACAGGTATTCTCAGCTACAAGTCAAGTTCAAGGCTATTGTAGGCTACATGAGACCATTTTTCAACCATGCCCTCCTCTCAAAAAAGGACATTTTATGAGAATTGGACATTTAACTAAAATGCTTGTTACAGAGGGATGGCCATTATTCTCTAAGTGTGAGTTTATGGAGTATAGTCCCCCCTTTGTTTTGTAGTTTCTGCTTTTTTTTTTTTTTTTTTTTTTTTTTTTTTTTTTTTTTTTTTTTTTTTTTGGTTTTCCGAGACAGGGTTTCTCTGTGTAGTTTTGCGCCTTTCCTGGGACTCACTTGGTAGCCCAGGCTGGCCTCGAACTCACAGAAATCCGCCTGGCTCTGCCTCCCGAGTGCTGGGATTAAAGGCGTGCGCCACCACCACCCGGCTGTAGTTTCTGCTTTTTGAAACAGGATTTTTTACTGTTTTTTTTTTTTTTGTTTCATTGGTTTTTATTTCATTTTTTAAATGATTTTTTTACAACTTTTTTAATGATTTATTTTTATTTTCTGTACATTGGTGTTTTCCTTGCATGTATATCTGTATGAGAGTGTCAGAGCTCCTGGAGCTGGAGTTATAGACTGTTGTGAGCTGCCATGTGGGTGCTGGGAATTGAACCCGCTCCTCTGGAGGAGCAGCCCATACTCTTAACCACTGAGCCACCTCTTCAGCCTGTTTTATTGGTTTTGAGATACAGAATTACAAAACTTCAAAACAAAAACAAAACCTAGATTGGCCTTGATTTTGCTTTGTAGCTGAGGATAACTTTGAACTCTTGATGCTCTTGCCTCTACACATAAGAATTGGGATTATAGGCATATGCCACTATTGTGACAAAGTCTTGTGATACATCCCTGAACTCAAGAACGTCCTGTCTCTGCCTGTCAAGTGCTGGGATTAGAAATGTGTGCCATGACACCTGTCTACTTGCAGCCTAGCAATAACAGCAATGAATCGGAATGTTCGTGGGTGAAAAGCCGTGATGGGAAAATTTTGCTTGTACTGTGGTGGTGGAGTGTATGGGGCTTAATGAAATGTGACTGGCTGTGAGTTAATCATTAAAGCTGTTAGACATATGTGGAAGTGTTTTTTTTAAATATATGTTGTATTTTATTTGCTTTTTATGTGGATGAGATTTCCTGTAATAATAACATGTGAATTTGACTACTAGTATCTCTATGCAAACATCAGGAAGTGGTCAAAACAAGGGTAGCAGCAGCAGAGGTGGGTTTTGGGTTATGTTTCTTTCCCTGCCAAGTGCAGGCAGAGGGTGGGTTGCAGATTTCTGTGGGACTGAGGGTTTGGGGTAAGGAATTCTGGAATAGCCATAAGGATAGCGAGGCGGAACCAAGGAGACTCCTTGTCACATTTAACAAGAACAGCCCTGCTTCTAAGTTTTGTTAAGTTTGGTTTGTTGGTAACATTTCATTTATAAGCATGACTGTAGAAGACTTAAAAAATTTGTTTATGGCTGTTGATGAATCATTTGGATATTTTAAAGGCTGATACTTGAACTATATACTGCTGAAAAATTATATTAGAGAATAGACAAAGTAGGAAAATTGGTCACAAGGCTACCACAGTATTACAAGTGAATGAGAAGTTTGTTTTAAGGGAGCTTAGCTAATCAAGGTTTGGCCCAGGAGGTAAATTTGTGTATAGTAATTTGTTTCTAGGAAGGACAGAGAGAGCTCTGAGTAGCTGCTGTATGGACTGGACCCCAGCTCCCTCCTGCTCTTGACAGAGCACCCGGACTCACAGCCGGTTTCTGTGTCTCGGTGTCTCTGAGCAGTCTTGCAGATGGACTTCTGCGCGCCATGACTGATGAGGGTGGACGGTAGGGAACGATGCCTGCTGAGTAGGCTCACGGCAACTTCTTCCACCATAACAGCTCCTCTTTCAGCCATGGCTGCTTCTCATCCACACCACACCTTCTTAACAGCACTGTACCTTTAAAAAAGTCATCATCCTCTGGCAATTTCCACACACGACACAGTATATCTTGGTAACATTCACCACCACACCTCTTTCCCTTTCCCCCAACCCACTGTACCTTATACTTGCTTGAATTCCAGACTACAAAACTCCAGCAGTTGGCCATCTTTTCCTTCTCTTCAAACTTGAAATCTTTCCCTCTTGGAAAAGCCGTAGACTTGTCTGTCACTCTTTCTGGCACTAAAGTCTCTTTGATCCCCGTGCTTTTTCAAAGTGCATGGGTACACACTCATGGGACAAGCTGCCCCAGTCTAGTGAGAATAAGCTGTCAATATTGTAGGCTTGCTTCTACTCCACTCTGCCCCATAATTGTATATATATTTTAATCTTTCCCTTGTCCCTCCAACTCAATCCTTGAGTAAGGGTCTCTCACTTCTGAGCTCATGAAGACAGTTCTTAGTATTCTTGAGTTATAGAACTCCTTGAGAATCGGATTGATGATAGTTATGGGACTTCTCTAGAAAATTGCAGATACACAGTGTTTTGCCTACAATTTGAGAGTTTAAATTTATGCTTCATGCATCAGGAAAACCCGGGAGCTTATGGGGTTGCTTGGTTAAAATACAGTATTCCCTTTTAAATATATTTTTATTTATTCTTTGAGAATTTCATAATTTAT